AGCTCCGGAGGTAAACCTGGTAAACCATGAATCCTCCGTACATTTTGCCCACTCGATTTTATTGCAACGCTCCCCCTAGCGTACGTCGCCGCACTATATCGAACGTTGACACGCGCCATATGTGGCATCATTCCTATTTTATAACACCTCGCATCTTTCATAATCAACTACACGTACCCCCGTCTAGTTTATAACATCTTGCATCTTTTGGATGGACGGACGGACGGACGGACGGACGGATGGATAGATGGACGGACGGACGGACGGATGGATGGATGGATGGATGGATGGATGGACGGACGGATGGACGGATGGACGGATGGATATGGCTGTACCCTTTAGATCGGGCGGTGGCTAGCGTAATACTTAATGCCGTCAGCTACAAGTACCACCATCTAGTGAACACTGCAAGAACTGAACGAGATAGGGCTACGGACGGACGGATGAATGGACGGACGGACGGACGGACGGACGGACGGACGGACGGATGGATGGATGGATGGACGGATGGATATGGCTGTACCCTTTAGCTCGGGCGGTGGCTAGCGTAATACTTAATGCCGTCAGCTACAACTACCGCCATCTAGTGAACACTGCAAGAACTGAACGAGAGGTGGCTACATACAGGGGACGCACAGCCCACGCCTTAAGGAGCTTCGCTCCTAAAAGTGGATGAAAAAATAACCAGCCGTGAGCAGGAATCGAACCTACGATCTTCGAATAACGCGTTCGATGCTCCAATCACTGAGCTACCACAGCGGCTTTCCCTCCATGCACTTTTTTGGGTTTATATGTGAATTTAGAAGTAGGAGTGACAGTCAGCGCCATCTATAAGCCAAACGACGAGTGTGAAAACACTCTTATGCGCATGTTTGGCGTCACATAGCACGTGAACCTATTATGAGCGGGCAGCTGAATAATTGTCCATCTTGTGCAACCTAAACACACCAAGTCTGCCATTACGAGACCCTCGTTCAATGAAATAAGGGGAAGAAGTGTATACCTAATGGCTCGTTTTTCCGGGTTTTAACACAATATTAATGAGATCTAACAGACAGTAATGCCAAGGAATGTACAGGGGAAGCTATTAGAACCAATGGAATGTAAATAAGAAGAAAGAAAAGTGGATGAAAAAATAACCAGCCTTTACAGGAATCGAACCTATATATATATATATATATATATAAATATATATATATATATATATATATATATATATATATACACATACATATATATATATATATATATATATATATATATATATATATATATATATATAAAATAAGGGAGAGAAGTGTATACCTAAGGGCTCGTATTTCCGTGTTTTAACACAATATTAATGAGATATAACAGACAGTAATGCCAAAGAATGTACAGGGGAAATTATTAGAACCAATGGAATGTAAATAAGAAGAAAGAAAAGTGGATGAAAAAAATTGGATGAAAAAAAATTACCAGCTGTGAGCAGGAATCGAACCCACTATATATATATATATATATATATATATATATATATATATATATATATATACATATATATATATAATTTATTTATATATATACTGATTTATAATATAAATATATTAAAGCGTTATTCGAAGGTCGCAGGTTCGGTTCCTGCCCACGGCAAGTTTTGTTTTCATCCACATTTCTTTCTTCACAATTACCTTACGATTCGGTCTAATAACCTCCTTTATACATTTATTGACATTATCATCTGTTAGATTTCATTAATAATGTGTCAAAACACTGAAGAATGAGCCCTCATGTGTGCACTTCTTTCCCATTTATATATATATATAAATATATATATATATATATATATATATATATATATATATATATGTATTTATATATATATATATATATATATATATATATATATATATATATATATATATATATTTATATATATATATAGGGTTATTCGTTTGCAATTTACATCCTAAAAATTTGTCATTAATGAAACGATGTAGGCACAAAGCACATTTTAAATTTAATAAGGCCTACTCAGGCAACTTAATGCCATTTGTTACGAAGTGCGCCTCCGACGACGTTACGAAGGGCGCCACGAATCCCACCGCTGAAACCGCTGTTTCGAAAGACGGCGACGCCAACACGGTCCCGAAGGCGCCACTGCTTCGAACTCCGCCGGGAAGGTCACCAGCCGTTTGGTAGCGTAGGTTTCTCAGCTCGTGACTGCTTCTGCGCAGAGCTTATAGACGAGCGGACGAGACGATGGTGAGTTAAACAAGGTGTATGTACAGCATATATACAGAGGCGTTACAAATTCGGCACTGGGGCCGACAGCTTAGAGACTCGTACAGCCGAGTTTCCTCCTCTGACATATAATCTACTGCTCACGACGTGCCGCAGGGCTTTTTTTATATGCACCGGGAGGATTCTTTGAGTAACCAAATGTCCAACCAGAAGCGCCGCTGGCCGTGAGGTCAGAATCCTCCAATGGGGTCGCCGCTGGGCCGCGTCATTCTCATCGAATCCGGAGCCGCTGCGCGTGGTTGCAGCCAAGGACGAGTGACGTCGCCACGCATTGCGTAAGACTCGCCAGACAGGAAGGCGCCTATTGCTGCAACGGGCTCGCTGTGCGTGCGCGACAGAAAGGCACCGCCGCGTGATGACTCCGTTGAGTTGTTCGCGTCAGGCGGGCTCGCGTGCTCGCCTTGACACAAATTGCCTTTTTCAGAGGCATGGACGTTCGCTGTGGACTCGCAGGCATAACACATTGTACATTACATGTCTCGAAGGATTATTCATCTCTCGAAGTTCTTTGTCCTCCTGAGGGAAGCACTTTACGAATTTCTTCTTCATGCGAAAGCATTTGTCAGCATTACAGAACACAATTACTCCAGGTAATTACTTGCTGACACATAAGGATTGAAAAGCTATGTTTATATGCATTGATATGTGTGCCCTCCTTACTCTTATTCCGGTATAGGGAGCTTCGGTTGACGTGCATCTATAACTTTTGATTGCTCTTACTTTTTACGGAATGGTGGTTATTGTTAGACTAAGCCTTGCTTTAGGGACGGCTTTAGGCTCTCCCATAGTCGAGTACTAAGTACTCGAAATCGTTAACCACTTTTTTCTAAACACAATGGCCCTCCTTCATGTTCTTTCATATAAATTTTCAAGATTGATTATGCAAGTTTGTTTCATTGCCATGTGAATAAGCAATAACGTGTGCACGTTCGCGTGATCGCTCCTCAATAAATAATGGTATGAATTACAAAGGAAAGAGCACGCCATTTGTTGCAGTTACTTTCTTAGGTATTACGACCCAAACTTAGGTTATTAGGCTATACAGGGGACACCGTATTGACAACCATCTCTCATTCAATATCGGGGCATACACCTCTATTTTATTAGTGAGATCTATCTACGTGGCAGTTGTTGCAGTGATGTACCCAGTAAGAAGTGGGGTTGCAAAAGCCAAGAAGTGATTGCAAAAGCCAGAGCAGTGAAGCAGCTTATTTGTTAAGCCACACTGACAGGTGTTTTTTTATGTCACACTCTAGCGAAGTGAGGCAATCAGTGTCACTTCCAGAGACGCTGAAACGGCACTCACTTGAGCCACATGCTCGGATATCTAAGTGTACGAAGTACTTGACGCCAAGTACCATGAGGCACCAATTGCCTTGTGTTGCCTATAAGGCCAGTAAATATGGTAAAATATTTTTTTACATCTTATGCAAGCGAACGCAGTAGATGCCTCGTGAAATGCGAGCGGTGACGGTCAGCGGCGGCACAACGAATGAAATGATGTGATGGGGCAAATACAACGTCGCGTAGCGTAACTACTCATGATACCATCAATACTTCATATTGCGGTTTCTACAGGTGTGACGCGATACTGGAAGCCCTGCAATAAGACGGTAGGAACAGAAAAATTTAGTGCGTGGCAGATCACTTCTCTTGAGTTAGCAAAAAATAGCGGCACTTTGAAATGTTATAAGAATAGGTTCTTCGATAACAATGTATGGGCCCCGCCGCGGTGGTCTAGTGGCTAAGGTACTCGTCTGCTGACCCGCAGGTCGTGGGTTCGAATCCCGGCTGCGGCGGCTGCATTTCCGATGGAGGCGGAAATGTTGTAGGCCCGTGTGCTCAGATTTCGGTGCACGTTAAAGAACCGCAGGTGGTCGAAATTTCCGGAGCCCTCCACTACGGCGTCTCTCATAATCATATGGTGGTTTTGGGACGTTAAACCCCACGTATCTATCTATAACAATGTATGACGAAACTTGCAGCATATAAAAAAAGACATGAAAGCGAAATGGTCGGCTAGATTACAAGGATTTTCGAAGGCCGACAACTGGGCAAGTTTAACGCCAAACGGTAAAACGAATAGAAACAAAAGGGGGGGGGGCACGAAGCACAAGCGCTGATTTTCCGCTGAACATTTCTTCACATGCAGAGACCATAAATATGATCCCATGCGTGGTTTATCACAAATAACAATTCAGTATATAGACTTATAACAACCGGCATGAGGAAGCGATAAAAATAAAAGAAAAACAATATCTCAATCCTTCAAGTAAAAAAAATTGTGTATTTTGCAAGGCTACAGGCGGGAAGCTGATGCTTGATTCTATTTTTTTGTATGGGCCAAACCTCGATACTCTCTCGAACTGTTTGTTTATGACGCTTATGATGCCTTCACATTCATGCTGGTTTATGTTAAGTGGCGTTCACATCCACACTGCCAACAAGGCGCAGCCGTATTCGATAGACCATTGTTACGCACACCCAAATCATCATCTCTTATGCTAAATATAGTACACCCTTCTGTGTGTGCTATGTATGCAGCGTTTCATGACAGAAGGATCCTGCAACACCCGAGGCTCACTATATTGCTTCTTATCTGTGCCTAAAGCCACTGCCCAAACTATTCTTAGCATTTTCATTTCTATTTGTGCCTCTTTGTTTTCACGACGGCAAATTCTTGCTGATTTATATGGACATATAAAAACCACAATACCTCCGCATTTACCAAATACATTTTTTACCCCATCCGTTTTAGCACACAATAAGCAAATCACCAGGTTTCTAGGGACTGCGAGAAATTTGGACTGAGAAAATATTTGTCCAACTGTTCATGCGCTTGAACTATTTGGATGTGTTTGGGTTCTGAAATGAAAAATAGGATCACCAACTTAGGGCAAGCACTTTATCAACAGCAAGTTCTCTCAATAATGAAGCGAACACTTATCTGTTTTATATGTGCATTTGCTATACAAGCTGACGTGTACTTATATAAACGCGCTGATTACCAGAAATAGGTGTCATAACAAATTGTAAACTGCAAAGTTTTCTACGTGGTTTCAGTTGCATTCATTTCAGACAAAAATGCACTCACAAAAAACATAAAGATCTTTCAGCTTTTTTTTTTAATTGGGGGGGGGGGCGGTACAGAGCGTCTAAGTGCGAAAAAGTGCTTACGGCCCCACCTTTGTTCCCCTAAAATGACTTGAAATTCACAACCTCATTCTCAGTCGATGTAACGATGCTGCCCTTTCCCCCTTCAAAAGCTATCGGCCCCTAAAACGGTTTTGCACGCCCTTAGAAATCATAGCCTCCCTCCCATCCCTAGTCTTGTATGGCTTCCGTAAGCAAACCACGTTTGACCAAGCTACGATGTCACGTGCCGACATTATAAGGTGACGTTAAATAACCTGATGTCATGTTAAGTTGGCAAATCGCACAATCTGTGACCTTACCAGAGCGTAATTTGGTGACATTATCAGGCGACTACTTCTGGCAACCCTCGTTAGCGGTGCCGACAAGGACACTTTCCACTCTAAGAGACGTTGAAGGGTTTAATTATAGAGATTCCAACTGGCAAAGACTTCCCTTCGTCGGCAGAAGTGAATATTTTCACGCCTCTTTTTGTTTTAACTAGTTCGTATGAGGCGCTGAAGTTCATCCTACGAAAAGAACTAACTGAATGAGAACTAGTTGCCTTACACATCTTGTAACGTTAATCGCGTTCTTGTATTTCGGCACTTGCGTTGCTACGAAAAATTAATTCATCAATACCTGTGGACAAGCATATAGTTGTGCGTTACAGAACACAAAGCAGACAAATAAACCTCACTTTCCGACTACGGGATGGCATACACATACCGCAAAGCAACTAAAATTTTTTTCGATGGTAAATGGTCATTTATATTTTCATAATTATTGTTCCTCTGAGTGAGGTAAGTCAATGTCAATTTTGAAAGATCAAACTGAACCCCAGCAGGTGGGACTGCTCAAAGGAGCACATGCTACTTTCACATGCAGAAGAAATTCCTAATTATTTGCCAGTGTTCTCGTGCGACGTATAAGTTAGGAATCAAAGGTAATTGATATCTTTTCCACAATATAAGTTCAATTCCAACACGGGAATGCTGAAAAGACAGCGGAGTGTATTCTCAGCTAGGTGTTTTTGGTTTTTGCTCTTTTTTTAAGTTCTGCAACTTTACTTGTTTTTCAAACTTTATTTATTGCTTCTTTTTTTCTTGCTTTTTTAATTACTTTTTTATTTGTTTTTCTTTATTTCTGGCTCTTTTTCTCTCTGTTTCCTTGTCTTGCTCTTTGTTTATCTCACCCACATCATTCGTTTCTTTTCCTCTCGCTTTCTCTCTCTTTCTTTGTCGCTTGCTTCATCCTTATTTCTTTTTTTTATTTCTCTATCTTGAATGAGGTCTTCTTACCTTTTTTCTTGTTATTTCACTTTCTCTATCTTTTTTTCTTTGTGCATGCCCCACCGTAGTGGTCTACTCGCTAAGGTACTCAGCTGCTGACCAGCAGGTTGCGTGAGAGAATCCGGGCTGCGGTGGCTACAATTTCGATGCAATTGAAAACGGTGTAAGCCCGTGTGCTTAGATTTGTGTGCACGTTAATGAACCCCAGGTGGTCAAAATTTCCGGAGCCTTCTACTACGGCTTTTCTCATAATCATGTGGAGGTTTTAGGACGTGAAACCTCACACACTATTCAATCAATTATTCAATCAATCATCCACTTATCTCTGTGTATATCGTTCTGTCTATTTCTTTCTTCCTCGTTATTTCTATGCAATGCTATACTCGCTTCTCTCCTCTTTTTTCACGCTTCTTGCAATCACATCTTTCGTTTTTCCCTCACTTCGCTTTCCCGCGTCCATGCTCCACAGTGCTTTACAACGCCATGCTACACTCTACTAGCATACCTGAATAGCACGAGCGTTTGAGATGCTTGTGCACACGTTGAGATCACACCGGTTTTAGCACCACCACGATTTTCACTTCATTATATAAATACTGCACCTTGAAGACAAACATAACATTTATACTCTGAGTTGTAATAAATTATTGTGCGTACTAATGTTTGCAGCACGTGGTAAAAACACGTATTTAAGGAAATATATTTAATTTTTGTAGCTCACTGTTTGTCGCCATCGCCCGACTTCACCAGCACGTCGTAAGTTAAAGTGTTCGTACTTTTATTCGTCTCTCTTAGTTTTGGCCTGATGCAGGTTACATTCAAGAACTTGCTGCTTGAGTACAAATAGATGGTTCCATTTGTCATAAACTGTATTGTGAAAAGAGAACAAGATAACACCACCTATTCACTCCTAAAGTTAGAATGCCTTTTTAGCACCGAATTTCTCTTAGCCTATTTGCGAAAATATGCAAATTATAACTGATAAAAAGTGAACTTCAGGAAAAACTAACATTCCTGTTTTTTTAATTCGCAATTACAGGAGTCGAGAGCAGCTCGACACAATTGCGCGGGATCCTAAACATAAGTCAAAGTAAATAGTTGTGCTGGACTGTAGAGTCATGACAGATTCAAATTTTATGCGTGTATGTTTGTTTTTCAATATCTTGGCATATAACCGCTCAATAAATGAAACAACATATTTAATCACTACATTCAGACCAGTTGGTACTTAAAATCAATACTGGCTCGTCAAACGTAATTACACTTCTACTACATAAATACTTTTAAATGATCAGGAGTATGGGTTAAGCGTTTGGTTTCTGTTATGCATATTAGGCAGAGGTTTTGTCGAGAATAAGTGACAAACTAGATGCTGCAGTTTTCCTAATTACAGATAATAAATTAATGTTTAGTCCAGTTTTCAAGTGATCTTCGCAGATGTTATGCTTCTTGAATTCTTAGCAATCTAGTCAGAATTATCCGTCACGGTGAATCAACTTCAAGTGGAACTGATCGGTGAGTCTGATCGTGAGTGTATCTTTAGGTAGGAGTGTTTCTAAGTATATGAATTTGAGCATGTGTAAATTAGGCTGACACCTAAAGGACTGAACCTCAGAACATGTATCAACCGAAATGAATGCCCTTTTTTTATCAGGCAAATGATTATCGCATGCCTAATAGGAGACACCTTTTGACAACATTTCGTGCATTGCGAAAGCTGTGTGGCCAAGGCTTCTTTGTCGAATAAAGGACATTGTAATTATGAACTGCGGAGCTCTGCCCAGCAGCGCAGTCCACACTGTGCGCACATCACAGCGCAAATGTCGGGTTGCAACTCCTTTGCTTGAGAGTACGATGTATTGGCAGACTTTCTGAAGGCTTTATCGATGAATATCTCTTGAGAGCATGCCAGGGTAGGCATCCGTTAAAAGGGGACTGTTGAGGTAAGCTGCGTTTTCGAATCTCCTTCTAAGTCATTTTTTAATGTCTCACAAGTATTACGCAAAAGTTGACCCATACAAAGTAAATTTACATATTCTCACATATAAAGTCGACGACAAAGATAGGTCCCAAGTCCATAATATCAATGTTTAAGTTACTGAATAGTATAAAAGGTATGTGTTTATAAACGTTGCTTATTGTTCTGTCACAAGTATGCCCGACATTAGTCTAGTTTTTGTGTTTCCTATATGTTTGCACTGAGCGTTGATCACAGACACCATGAACGGAAAATCATCGGGCTTAAGGTGCTTCGCCCCTAATACCGCAGATCGAGCCGGAATCAAACTGAAGAATACTACGTGACAATCACGCTGTCTACGACAAAGCAACGCTTGGGTTTGGGGTTTCTCTTCAAAAAATTCATACAGCCGTCACGTTCCAAAGAATGAAACTGTGGTTGCATTGCTGGCTATCTGCTTTTGTAGCAATGTAATAAGCATTCAATACGCTAGCTGTAGATAGGGGCTCGGTGAATAGGTCAGTTGACGCTATTTAGCATACACATATCATTGAAAGGTAAGCTGTACACTTTGTCTGACTATCTGCGTTTTTTCTTTTGTCCCTGCATTTTGTGTGCAGCAGTTACTTTTAGCATGTCTTGGAGTGTGGTCAACACTTGTGTGCGTTAAGAATTGCCTCTCGGCTCTATTGTGACAGGCTGTTTAGGCATCGCTAAATTATATATAATACTAAAACTAAGGATCGGGTTTTTTTTCCACAGAAATATAGCTGGTAACATAAAAGAATAACACAGCATTATTTCAAGGGTAGCAGTTATTGTAAGACTGCGGCGGCTGCATTTCCGATGGAGGCGGAAATGTTGTAGGCCCATGTGCTCAGTAAAGAACCTCAAGTTGTTGAAATTTCCGGAGCCCTCCACTGCGGCGTCTCATAATCATGAGGCGGTTTCGGTACGTTAAACCCCACATATCAATCAATCAAAGAGTTATAGTAGATTTAATAGGAGATACAAGATAAAGATGGTACATGCCTACGTGCCTACATCCAGTCTTGATGGAATATTAGTTCAAAGCTCTATAAAAACGTGGAACAGCCATTTAGGGAAAAAACACAGTATACTTTATTGATAGGCCACTTCAATACTGAGGTAGGGAAGGAGCAGGCTGAAGATCAGGCAGCAGGGAATGAGGCATCTGTACTAGAGATGCCTCTGAAGAGTTATTAGTAGAATTTGCCTCACCTCCGTGGTGCCTACAAGAACCACAGGTGTGCCTCACTATTCCGGGAAGAGCCGTCCTTCAACAGTGGTCCTACGACTGGTGACATTGTCACTACTCGACGAAAAATATGGCCAGAAGACCCACATATACACCTGTGGAACGGTCTCGGCTGACAGCTCCACACGTGCTGTTGTCATTCCGACGTACCAGGTCACTATAAAGTTCAAACTGTCGCATAGGACAGCATCCACAGCAGCGGAGCTTGCCGCCTTATGTGCTGCTATAGTTTATATCGCGGAAGCCCGACCTCAAAAATGGGCTGTGTTCTGCGTCTCAAGACATCCCTCCAGAGCTTGCAATCAGCTTTACGACAAAGGGTGCATCAACAACTAGTGAATGAAATAAGAGCAGTGCTTCACAAAGTTTTATCAAAAGGACATGACGTGGTGTTCCAGTAGTTACCGGGACATTGTGGTATTGTCGGTAACGACCTTGCTGATAATGCTGCCCGATCCGCCCACGCGGACGCCCAGACAACCCCGATTCCATTGTCGAGAACCGACGCTGCAAGGGGCCTTCACTCATTCGCTAACACTATGTCGGAAACTTGGCTTAGTGACCCTGGTGTCGGGATCCGCCGCCTACACGAATTGGACCCATCAAGAAACCTTCAAGTTCTATCGGACCTTTGCCGCCAGGATGCAACTTTATTGTGCCGCCTGTGGTTAGGAGTAGCTTTTACGAAAGCGTGCTCCTTTCGCATAGGAATGACGGATAGCTCCCGATGTGAATCGTGCGACACGGACGAGACAATAGAACATCTACTGTGTTCATGTGAACGTTTTGCGAGCGAACGCAACTTGCTAAGCAAAACGTGAGAGACACTAGACAGTAGACCTTTTTCCGAAGAGAAAATCCTTGGTTCATGGTTCTACGCGTCGCAGGCCAGCTAAGCGACGCGGGCATTGCTAAGTTTTCTAAAGACGACTGGACTACACGACCGCCTATAAGCGTGCAATGGACAAAGTCACATCTACACAGACGTTGCCCTTCACTTCTCTCTCTGTTCTCCTTTTATCCCCTCACCCCTTCCCCCAGTGCAGGGTAGCAAACCAGACGTGCGTCTGATTGACCTCCCTGCCTTTCATTTCTTCCCTTCCTCCTCCTCCTTCTTCGCAGGACACAATATATTTAAGAATTTCGAATGCTTTGTACCGAAAACGAGAGAACCATAAGTGAACAAACAAGAGCCCTAATGGCGAAAGTAAGAACGAAATATGCTTCATATTGAATGCACACCTAGGCACCGTGCCGGATGTGGCAGTGCTTGTTTAGGTATGGTGCAGTGACCATAGATTGGTCGGGTCCTAAATTCACCTTTACTTGAAGAAGGAACGACAGAAACTGATATGCAAGGAGCTCATGAATGAGCTAGCACTCTGAGCGAAAGTACAGGAATGCAGTCTCGCTTCAGAACAGATACTCAGGAATTATTGGGAAAGCGGGCCTTAGCGTTGATGAAATGAATGACAATCTGACGCGTATCATCACACAGTGTGCAGTGGAAGTTGGAGGTACGGTAGTTATAGAGGACACTAGCAAGCCGTCCCAGAAGACGAAGAAACTCATTGAGAAATGTCAAAGCATGAAAGCCTCAAACACAACAGACAAAATAAAATTGGCAGAACTTTCGAGGTTGAATATTGAGCGTAAGGTCTCCGATTTAACAAGGTATAACGTTGAGAGAATTTAACATGCTCTAACGAACATAGGAAGAGCCAAAGCAGTAACAATGAAACTTGGGATAGGCAAAACCCTGATGTATGCAATAATAAACAAGAAAGGCAGATTAACTACAAACACAAAGATGATAGTTAAAGTAGCGCAAAAGTTTTACAGAGATATGTACAGTTCCTGGGACAACCAACACCTTAATGCCCTAATAGAAGTGCTGGCAGTAGTTCATATGACATTCCACCAGTAATGACAGAAGTCACGAAAGCCTTCTAGGGAATGTTAAGAAGCAAAGCTGCTTGTGAGAATTAGGTAACACCAGATCTACTGAAAAACGGAAGAAAAACTGTGTTAGAAAAGCTGCCCACCCTTTTTACGAATTGATTACTGACGGGGAGGGTGCCAGAGTATTCGAAAAATGCTAACATCGTCTTAATCTATGAGAAAGCAAACAACAAGAACTGAAAGAATTAGAGCTCGATCAGCTTGCTCTCAGTCCTATACAAGCTATTTACGAAGATAATTGCTAACATATTAAGGCAGAATTTTAGTTCAATAAACCAAGTCATAAACCAGAATTTCGCACAAACTACTCAACAATAGACCAGAGTCGCAGTATAGATCAAGTGATGCAAAAATGCTCAGAATACACCCGATCATTCTACAAACCTTCATTGATTACAAGATGGCCTTTGATTTAAGAGATATTGCAGCAGTTATGCAGACACTGTGAAATCCGGACGTCGACGAAGCTTATATAAATATTGTGTAATAAATCTACAGCGAATCAACTGCCACCATAGTTCTCCATGAAGAAAGGGGCAGAATACCAATAAGGAAGGGTGTGAGACAAGGGATTATGACTACCCAAATCCCATTTATTGCGTCTTTTTGGGAGCTATTCAGAGACCTAGAATGAGAAAAGTTAGAGATACGAGGTAACAAAGTGTACTCTAATAACCTGTGCATTTCTGATTACATTGCATTGATGTTAACTCGGGGAACGAATTGAAACCCATCATTACTGAATTACACAAGGATAGCAGAAGGTAGGCCCTAAATATTATCTGAATAAAATCAAAGTAATAAACAACAACCTTGGAAAAGAACAGCTCTTCAAGATAGGTGGTAGTGCACTTGAAGTTGTAAAGAAATATGCCTCCTCAAGACAGATGGTCACCGAGGAGCCCAACCCCGAAATTCAAGTTAGTCGAAGAATAAGAGCAGGTTGGAGCACATTTGGCAGACATTCTCAAACGATGAATGGCAGATTGCCACTATCTCTAAAGAAAAAGGTGTATAACAGCTGCATCTTAGTGGTACTTACCTACGAAACAGAAACCTGGAAGTTTGAAAAGAGGGTTCTACTCCAGTTGAGGGCGACAGAGAGAGCGAAAGAAAGAAAAATGATAAGCATACTTTTAAAATAGCAGAAGAGAGCAGAGTGGGTCAGGAAACAAACCCGAATATATCATAGTTGAAATCAAGCAGAAGAAATGGACATGGGCCAGGAAAGTACCGCGAAAGCAAAATAACCACTGGTCATTAAGGATCGCATGCTAGATTCTAAGAGAAGGAAGCTGGTGAAGGAAGACAAAAAGTTAGGCGGGTAGATGACATTACGAAGTTAGCGGTTAGAAATTGGCAGCAGCAATGACAGCCAGGGCTGAGTGGCAGGGCGTGAAAGGTGTCTTTCTCCTGTGGTGGGCGTCGTAAGGCTTATGATGATGATGATGAACATTTATACAAAGCCGGTAGAACTCATTTCCGCACCATGATCACAAGTCCGTGTGAACGGTATTATGAATTTCCAAGCGTAGTCGTGTTGTAAAGATATGAGTTGTGGCATACAAGCGCTAAACCTGCATCTGTATTGTTTATCCAGAAGCATGGCTTCAAATTCGAGTGATGAAAACTATTGTCTTCCACTTTTTCGTCACACTATTTTCTTGCAAAAGCATACAACCTTAAGCTCTTGGCTCTGCTTCCTAACAGGCAATAGCGCAGACACGCGGTACAAGAAGATGCGTCTTCGGTTGGATGTATTCTTCAAGTTCCGACAAACGTCATCTCGTGTGGTCTACCGATAACAGCTTTGCTCTCGAGTTGCCATTTGTTGATGCTTTCCACGCGAAACCGTAGATTGCAGTTTCAGATTCTGCTGACCTCACGAAGTTTTACGCTGTACCAACCCTGCATGGCTGTGCCCATGGCAACCCATGCTCGTCACTACCAAACTATGTTCTCTATAGAGCCACAAGACAGCCCAGCGGAATGTGCATCATCGAAGAGACACACCATCTTGCCTTTTACTAAAGGCCAACAAATTTGTACAGCAACTCATGAAGAATGCTATGCCCATTATAGTCCTACGTGGTGGCCTAGGTGGGCTTGTGTGCCACAGTACGTCGAATGTGGCAGTTGGCGCCTTAAAAAAGTTAGGTAATGGCATTGAAGCGATGAAGAACTACAGCTAGCAATATTTCTCACCCTGCCAGTTACAGAGCGATAATCGGAGCTTATTTTTTTTATTGTAACTTTCACATTCTTGTAACAAAAAACTTCGCAAACACTTGTTTGGTCCCATAGCCTAACTGGCTAGTAGAGGGACCAATTGTGTGACATACCTACATACTTGCGCAAGCGGTTACACAGCGACAAAGGACATCAACCTGGATACACTGTTTAAAATAGAAAAAAAGCAAAAACATATGATTGAACTATACAAAGAAACATAGCGCAGAACATAGCTACTTATAGCAAAGAATAATAATAGCACTAGAATAATACTAATCATAATGATAATGATAATATTACTAAATAACTATGCAGACGTATTATTTAGAAAGTTCGCATGAAGTGCATGCTTCATGGCCAATGAAAAATTTCTAGCCTCTTTCACATCAGTCGGTATTGCATTCCATATGAGAGCGCCGTGAAATTCTATGAGCCTTCAACCGTAGGCATTTCTGGCTACTGGTAAATTAAAACAGTGATTCGCTGCAGCTCTTGTACAGCGCGCGGGTAGCGTAAAGGTGCTTACTGGGAATGGGTCATCACGTTTTATTATTCCATGCACTATATAAGCAACACTAGACATTTGAACAGAGTCCAGCGGAAGTACACGCATCATTTGAAATAGTGGTTTTGCAGTATCCGTCCTGTTTGAGTATGTAATAACTCGGACTGCCCTTTTTTGCAGGCGGCTAATACATTTCAAATGAGTTTTATATGTACTGCCCCATGATGCTATACAGTAGCTCAAGTGACTGTGCACGAAGGCAAAATATAGGATGCGCAAAATTGATGCGCCAAAACATTCACGGGCTTTTAGTAGCGTGTGACACCCATATGCTAGCTTGGAGCATGTCTTTTCTATATGCGGTTTCCAGTTCATGTCCGAGTCAAACATGACACCTAAGTACTTAAACGAGGCTACTGGCTGTAGCAGTGCCGTATCTAAAACCAAGTTGAAACCTGCAAAGTCGAGTTCTTTTTTCCTAGAGTGAAAGACCATGTATTTAGTTTTCTCTGTGTTGATATTAAGGTGGTTTTGTTTAAACCATACTTGTACTCTCTGTAACTCTTCGTTAATTTTATCTTCGATGTCTCTTAAGCTGTCACCAACAAAGATTAGTGCCGTATCATCTGCGTACATTAAAGCTTCTGAATATAGTAGGATGGAGGGAAAATCGTTTACGTACAGGGAAAAAAGAGTGGGTTCAATTACTGGCCTTGTGGTACCCCGGAGACTATTGATTGAGTAAAGGACTCGACGCCATTCATCACTACTCGTTGCTGGTGGTCAGATAGGTATGATTTGAGAAGCTGGTGAATTTTGCCTCGAAAACCGTACTCATGAAGCTTACTTAACATGATGTTGTGGTTGACGAAATCGAAAGCTTTTCTTATGTCTAAAAAAACTACGACGGATATCTTATTGTTGTTCAAGGCTTTGTTAACTTGTTGAGTTAGTACCAAAACTGCAGTAAATGTAGATCTGTGTGCTCGAAAACCATACTGGTTTGAGCAAATTATATTATGTTTGGATGCAAATGATGTTATCTGCACTGTTCTATTTTTTCAAAAATTGTAATAATTACACTTAACACAGATATTGGTCTGTAATTAGATGCACTTGATCGGTCTCCATCTTTGTATACAGGGTCGACTTTGCCCAACTTAAGCTCATTTGGGTATATACCACAGTCCTGCCAGTGTTGAAACATGTGCAGCAAATGGTCTGCCAGAATGTCTATGTTATTTTTTATTAATTAAACTGTAATAGCGTCGAGCCCAGCCGCTTTATTGGCGTCTAGTTTTTTTACTATTGACATGATATGGGACATTTCTATCTCAAATATGCCAAAACTATCAGAAACTGGTCTAATGGGACGCGTGTGGTCTTTAGTGTCAGTAAACTGAGCAGCCAAAGCACGACCGACGTCTGCATAATACTTGTTAAAGCGATCCACCGTGTCTTGAGTTATATCGTCAGGCAGTACGCGTTTATCTGAGTCAGGACCAGCTGCGGATTTTGCTATTTCCCAAATTCGCTTAGTATTGCCTCCAGCCTCTTCGATAAGCTCAGCATAGTATTCTTTTTTTCGTTTCCTCATTAGGGTGACTGACTTATTCCTATAGCATTTGAATTAATTTAAGTAGTAGGCATTGGTTCTCTGCTGCTTCCACTTGTGATACCAATGGTCTTTTTGTTTCAGTATTTCTAGAGTACTAAGTGTCATCCAAGGGCAGAGTGGCTTGGCGTAGTTACTGCTAGTCGTGGTTCTGCTTAGTGACACAGCTTTTTTGAGAGAGCATATTAAATTACTGTATTCTATATTTACATCCTCGTCATACATAGCGCAGTAATCGATTTGACTTATTTTGTCACGTAGTAACCTATAGTCAATCTTTGTAGTTAATTTTCCCCTAGAAGGTTTTGTATTGAGAGGCTCATTTAAAAGGGTAACAAAAATAGGCAAGCGATCGGCAATCGGAACAGGAAGCACACCAGCATGCACATCATCGCCGACATTGCAAAGGGCGTGATCAATAAGAGTACATGACGTGTCAATGATACGCGTTGGCTCATTTATGACAATACACAAGTTGAAGGATTTTAAGAGGAGCTTGTACTCATTCGAGGTATCGGATGACAGGTCAATATTGAAGTCTCCAACAATTACAATAGAATTGTAGTGCGTGCAGGAAACTCTCACAAGTAAAGACTCAAATTGATGCTCCACCTGAAACGAAACCACGGCGGTTGCGAACAGATCAATTTTTTTCGCACGAATAACAGCTTGTGAAATAGCCTGTAGTAAACAGAAGTACACCCTCTATACGCGAAAAATACATTAGTGGTTCGCTTCGGATTCCTCATAGAGAGTGCGTCTGTTTCGCCTTGGAGCCTTGAAAGTTTTGGAGCGTGGTCACTAAAATTAAGTGGTAGTCTAAGCAGCGCTGTTATAAAAATATTATCTACTCACTTCCCAAGGTCCAGGCACGTTTTTTGAAATATTTGCATGTTTTTTCTGAAAAACGAAAACGGAGATCTTGGTTTATACATGTAAATCTTTAGAAAAGTGGTGGTTTCACTAAGTGTCGCTAAGAACACAGGTGTCTTAAATAACCGCAACACAAAAAAAGATTGTTGAGCGAAATGCATTTCTGTCAAAGAACTGTGCCAGAAAATGGCTCTTAGCGAGACATAAAATAAAACTGCATAGGCCTATTGGACATTTATGACACATTTCATAATTATAAGTTGTTCCTGTTGGAACAGTACAAGGATATTCAGGCAAATCGTAATTCTGTTAGCTTAATTAGAAATGGTGCCGCTGCCGTACCGCTATGGTATAATGCGTTGTCTTAAAACATGCTTCACCTAAATATTTAACAATCATCAGAAGGGAAGATTCTGGACGCCTAACATTCTATGGAAAAAACTAAAAAGTGCAGAAAAAGGGCGTGGCGTATTTTGTAGTGTTTCAGGCGTCTGGAATTTTCATTTATTATGACGCACCAAGAAGCCTAGCAAGGAGTACTTCTACAATTAGCAGAAGTGTTGGGAGCGCAGAATTTTTTAAATAACTTTTGCCGTTTTCTGAACCACATGAAGCAATTAGGCACAAAATGTAAACAAAAATATTCTTATTCTCGTGGCGCCCTATTGAAGTTATCTCACTTTATTAACCAGTGCACAATATAATTGTATGTAAATTGGATTTCCGATCTTTTTAGACGTTTTGCATTATCGCTCATGCTAAAGAAGCATCCTTTTTTAGTGTTGCAATGAGGGCTAAGTATTTTAGCTAAAAAAAAACTTCCAAAGCTTATAGTCTTCTGTGATGTGCACTCCTCTCCCGGACAAATGAAATATCGGGAGGGTAGGAAACGAGACTATTTAATCCCTCCTTCCTTGCGCCTTGCCCGAAGGAAGCTGCCAGACTTTCATAAAACCTAATAATTTATTCATGGTGAACCAGAAACCGATTTCTAGTTTTTTGATAAGTTTTTAATAAACACGAACGAGGAAAAAAATGTTGAAAAACTTCATTGCTAAACGCAAATTTAAGCGCTGTTTCAACAATTTATGCAATGGCATGAGAATTTTCTTTTTCTGAACTGTTTATTTACGTTGCAGTACATAAATATAACGGATTAAAAAGGCTTTCACATCATCCTCAGCTTTACTACCCCCACTGAACGGCAAAGTAGTCTCTCATGATCCGCTGATCAACCAGGTTCACGTTATACCAGTGAAATAATAAATCTCATCGGCCCACCTAACTTTCTGTCTCCTCTTCATGCGTTTACCTTTTCTGGGTATTCAGTCAGTTACCCTTATTGATCAGCGGCTATTCTGCCTGCGTGCTACGTTCCCGGCCCCTAACCAGTTCTTGTTAATTTCAACTATGATATTGTTGCGGGTTCGCGGCTATGCAGCTATGCGGGCGGTGCGAAGAAGAAGACGACGACGTTTTTGGGCTGTTCGATATACACAACGGCTGCCATCTTGACTGCTGGAGTACTTTTCTACTCTAAAGTAGTAAATACATTCGCAACATTTTGGTGGTGGCGCTGGGTACGACGCAAGACGGAACTTCGAAGCGGACGTGTTCTCGACTGCCCGACCATGGCAACAGAAACCAATTCTGCCGCTCCTGTTTCAGCCGCGACTCCGGCGCAGCCTGTACAGCCGGTCGTATTGACGCAACCGCGCGACCCTGGCAACTTCTGCGGCACCGACCATGTTGACGTTGACGACTGGATTCCGAAGTTCGAGCGGTTTGCAGCAGTGTACCGGTGGGACCCTACGATGATGCTCGCCAACGTTGGCTTCTATCTCTGCGGAACAGCTGGCGCGTGGTTCGAGGCTCATGAAGCGGACATAACCAGCTGGGATACTTGCAAACAGAAGCTTCGTGACCTGTTTGGTAAGGCCGTCGGACGCCAGCGGGCCGCTTCTAAAGAACTCTCTGGTCGGGCACAAACTACGACCGAATCATATGTCACCTACATCCTTGACGTTCTCGCCCTTTGCCATCGTGCCGACCCCAACATGTCCGAGGAAGACAAAGTAAGCCATTTACTTAAAGGCATTGCAGATGATGCTTTTAACATACTGGTTTCCAAAGACTGTTCCACCATTGATGACATCATCAAAGAGTGCCGCCGATTCGAAGAACTGAAGAGTCGCCGGGTCGCCAAGAATTTCTTGCGACTTCCGAACACGGCCGCTACGTCATCTTGCGAGGACCTTCAGCCGCCATGCAGTCAACCACATAACAACGAAAGTGTGGTTCGCATCGTTCGTAGAGAAATCGAGGCCGCGTCTCCGTCTTTTCTGACCCGCCCATCTGATGATCGACCAACGATCTCGTTGATCCAACAGGTCGTGAGAGAGGAGCTGGCAAACGTTGGGCTGCAGCCTGTGTGTTCGTTGACGGAACCTCGGGTCAGTACCATAGCGCCTTCTCCTGCACCAGAAAGATTCCGCCGCTATCGTGATCCTGCTCAGTGGAGGACACAGGACGACAAGCCTATATGTTTTCATTGTCATGGTGTAGGACACATCTCCCGCTACTGTCGTTTCCGCACGTATCCACCTCGGTCGTTTCCTGGCTATCGACGTGACGACAACCACCGGCCCCTGCAGTACAGCGCTCGTGACGATGGACCGTACAATGGCACTCCTGCGACACCAGTCCGCCGGTCCAGCCGTTCGCCGTCCCCGCATGACCGTCGCTCCAGGTCACCTCAGCACCGCCGCTATTCGTCGCCCCACCCTAGTGGACGCCCTTCTTCGGAAAACTGAGCAATGCAGCTCCCGGAGGTGACGCTGCATTGGACTCCCGACCTGAAAACCCTCTGCTGACCTTGACTACGGACAAGAACCTGCTTGATGTAGAAGTGGATGGCCTTCCTGTTACTGCCCTTATTGACACCGGCGCACATATTTCAATTCTGAGCTCTGACCTCCGTGCACGATTAAACAAGGTCCTTACGCCGCCAGAGTCCCTATTTGTACGTGTCGCTAGTGGAGCGACCCCGGCTGTGCTCGGAATGTGCACCGCGCGTGTGAGATTCGCCGACCGCCAGACGTCCGTTCTATTCCATGTTCTCGCTCACTGTCCACATGACGTCATCCTTGGACTCGATTTTTTGTCCGACCACTCCGCTGTAATTGACTGCTCAGCCGGCGTCGTGCAACTTGACTTGCCTGCGGCCACCGAAGAGTCGAAGATGGTACAGAACAAGCTTTCGTGCGCTGAGTTTGTTCGCCTCCCACCCCAAGCCCTAACTTGTGTCACAGTTGAACCGTATCCCAGTGTTCCGGATGGGGATTACGTGGTCTTTCCCTCTCCCGGTGTTTTATTGGCCCGCAACGTTTCCTCCCCGTACACCATATTAACTGTCACAGCGAACAAGACGTGCCTTCCTCTTCTGAACTTCGGACTCAGCCCTCAAATCCTACCACAAGGCATTGTTCTCGCCACTCTTTCACCGTCACACGAGTGCCAGATCTCATCAGTGTCACGTGAACTGGCCACAGTCGCCTCGCCGAACCCGCATAGCACCGACGCAGCCAAATCTACACGGCTCAACAATGTAACTAAGATGATTGCCTCAGACCTCTTGCCGTCTCAGGTCAAAGACCTCACTGATCTTCTCACGAGCTATTCGGACATATTTGACTTTGACGGTAGGCCCATAAGTCAAACATCGCAAGTCAAACATCGCATTAATACCGGTGATGCAGCTCCAATTCACAGGCGTCCCTATCGAGTGTCACCATCAGAACGCCAAGTTATCCAACAGGAGGTGAATAAGATGCTCACAAAAGGCATCATAGAGCCCTCATCGAGTCCGTGGGCGTCCCCTGTAGTCTTAGTTAAAAAGAAGGACAATACCTGGCGTTTCTGCGTGGACTATCGGCATTTAAACAAGGTCACCAAAAGGGATGTCTACCCGCTTCCTCGTATTGATGATGCCCTGGACTGCCTTCATGGCGCAACCTATTTTTCTTCGATAGACTTACGCTCCGGTTACTGGCAGATCGCCGTGGACGACCTCGACCGGGAGAAGACCGCCTTTGTAACGCCTGACGGTCTCTACCAATTCAAGGTAATGCCGTTTGGCTTGTGCAATGCGCCGGCAACGTTCGAGCGGATGATGGACACGCTTTTGCGCAGCTTTAAATGGTCTATCTGCCTGTGTTATCTGGACGACGTGATTGTGTTTGCCCCAACCTTTAAGTCTCACCTCGAGCGCCTTTCCTCAATTCTTTCAGTATTTCGAGAGGCTGGGCTCCAACTTAATTCCTCGAAATGCCATTTTGGGCATCGCCAAGTTACTATTCTAGGGCATCTCGTTGACTCCTCCGGCATCCGCCCCGATCCCGACAAAGTCCGAGCTGTCCTGGATTTTCCTGTACCGACTTGTGTCAAGGACGTTCGAAGTTTTGTGGGCCTATGCTCATATTTCCGACGATTTGTCAGAAACTTCGCAGAGGTCGCACGCCCCCTCACTGATCTTTTGAAGAAAGATGTACCATTTGAGTGGGGTCCTGATCAAGGCACGGCCTTTTCCCAGCTCATAACACTTCTGACCACGCCACCGATTCTCGCCCACTTCGACCCGTCTGCTCCAACCGAGGTCCGCACTGATGCTAGTGGCTACGGTATTGGCGCGGTTTTAGCCCAGCGTCAATCCGGTCACGATCGAGTTCTTGCGTA